AAGCGGCAGGTATCTTGACTCTGCCAGGAGCAAGGTTTTGCTCACATAAAAGATCAGCAGGTGTTGTTTGCCTTCTGCTCTCACTAATACCGCGCTGACCGTATGTTGAGAAACGTCCAGATAGAGATAGAGTTCCTCCCCTTGCTTCGGCGTGACAAGGAGCGGAGTGGAAGACATATATGTCTTAAGCTCGGCTAAGGCTCTGTCGCATTCTTCGTCTCACGAAAACTTGGACTTAAGAGCATAGAAGAAAGGGCGGTAACGATTTGATGACCAGCTAATAAATCTATTAAACGCGGTTGCCATCCTGGCAAGATTTTGTACGTCCTTTGCTAAGTTGGGTTGCTTCAATTCCTGTATGGCTTTGATTTGGGAGGGATCTGCCTCAATGCCACGGTTGGTGATTAGAAAGCCCAAGAATTTCCCTGACCCCACGCCGAAGGCATATTTCGACGCATTTAGACGTAACTTGTGTTGTTTGAGAATGGTGAACATTTCTGCCAAGTAGACTAAGTGGTCGTCCTCACATTTACTATTCACAACCATGTCGTCGATATAGGCCTCCATTGTGCGATCAAGCAAGGAAGCAAACATTTTCATAACCATCATTTGAAAGGTTGCCCTGGCGTTCTTCAACCCAAAGGGCATAACTCTATAGCAGAACAATCCTCTTGGGGTCGTGAAAGAAGTGATTTCTTGGTCGGACTCATGCATGGCAGTCTGGTGGTAGTCGCAGTAAGTGTCCAGGAAACTGAGTTGGTTGTGTCTAGCCGTTCCACCGACCGGTCAATTATGGGCAAAAGAAAACTGTCCTTGGGGCAAGCTCGGTTGGCTGTCTTGTAGTCGACACAAACCTGTCATTTCCCATTTTTCTTTGGTACCACGACCGTGTTGGAAACCCACCGAGGGTAGTGCACCTCCTGGATAGCCCTCGCCTCAAGCAAGTTTTTCACATCTTCCGCCAATACCTCGGCGTGATAAAGCGCTGATCTCCATATCCTCTGAATGATAGGCTGGGCATCCGAAAAGATGTTCAGTTTGTGGCAAATGAAGTTCGGATCGACGCCAGACATGTCGTAAGGCGTCCATGCGAACACTTCGATGCTTACGATCAAAAAATTCACCATGTCCAACCGTTCTTGGGCAGTCAGGCTGGATCACAGTAGAAAGGACTTTTCAGGATCACTCTCCTTGATCCTTACCTCCACCAAGTCTTCGACAGCCTTCTCTTCGGCCCTGGTACCAACATCGTCCAGGACACTTTGGTCTTCCAGCCCTCCAATTATCTGCACGAAGCCTTTGGCAGCCTGGCTTCCATTCACGGCCACGAAACATTACTTGGTCATAACTTGATCACCCTGAATTTCTTTGATTATCCCGGTGGCGGAGGAGAACCTCATGACCTGGTGGTAAGTTGATGCCACTGCCTATATGGCATGGAGCCATTCTCTGCCTAAGATCAAGTTGTACATGGAGGGTACCTTCAACACCTAGAATTTCACTTGACGACAGACCCCACTTTAAAAAATGGAATGATCTTGCCTACTAGCCATTCCAACTGTGAGTTGAAGCCAACCAATGGCGAGGTTGCTGGGGCCAAGTCCTTGTCGTCGAGCCTGAGTTGTTTGAAGGCGTCGTGATATACTATTTCGAACGAGCTGCTTTGGTTGATCAAGACGCGCCTAATGTTAAAGTTCTTCATGCAAAGCGTGACCAATAGCGCATCGTTGTGCGATGTTTGAATGCGCTCAAGATTTTTGCTTGAAAAGCTGAGCACATCTTTCACTTCGGTCTTGCCTTTCTTGATGGCTGGTTGGACCAATAGAACTTTTCTCATATGCTTCGTTTTCTTGATCATCCCCCGGAGCCCACATACCTGTGTTGGCTCGACAATCCCATGGATTACATTGATGACGCCTTGGGGAGGTACTTCTAAGGTGGCCAAACCATTTTGGTTCTGCTGGAAAATGGGGCGTGGCCTTGACGCCTCATTCAATATAATGATCCAGGTGGCCAGCCCCCACAAATTCCTCCAAATATTACTTCAAGGGGACACAATCTTCGGTGCAGTGTTCGCATTCATCATGGTAGGTACAACGATACCTCGGGTTGAACCCCCGTTGCACATTGCCTAACTTAGCCGACCACCAGATATATGTCTCGTCACGGATCTCACTAAGGATGTGGTAGATTGGAATTTTGAAAACTGTGGTGATGCCCATTGAGGTGTTCAACTTTCTTTTCTCATCTCCCGTGGCATCACAGGAGTAGTCAGCTCGGTCGTTGTGATGACCCTTACCCCGATTGTTGAGATTAGCACCGCAGTCAAGTTTTCGTTCATGATTGTTCGAACGGTTTGCCTCTTGTCCGACCGCATGAACTTTTCCGGCCACCTTTTTGTCTGCCGCTACGAAATTCACCTTCGTGGTAGCTGCGGTCGCATCATCCTCAACTCAAATGTGCTTATTGATGCGTTGAATTAACAGCTCCATGGTTGTTGGCCAACTCATAGTGAACGAGTCTTGCAGCCTAGGACCGACTGGGAAACTGCGCTTGTACTGGGTGATCGCCAGACTGGTCGGACAATAAAGAATCTCGTTGAACGTCTCCTAGTACTTGGAGTTGTATGCCTTGAGTGAGTCGCCCGGTTCCATCTTAACACTCAGAAGGTGGTTGACTTTCTTTGGCGTTTTGGTGTTGGTTATGAATCGAGTCACAAACGCCTTCGCCAGCTGTTGTCACCTCTTGATACTTTTCTCTAGCAACCTCTCAAACCACTTTAAGCCCAGCTCACCCAAATTTGATGGGAAAATAAGGCACATGAGTGCATCGTTTAGCCTATAACTAGCCATGACTTGCCGAAAGTGGCTCATATGCATGTATGGATCGATCTTTCCATTGTATAGCGTAAACTTGGGCAGGTGGAAGCCCGTTAGGAGCGGTGTAGTTTCTATCTCGAGGGAGAAAGGGATGGCGCTCAGCCTCGCCAAGTCCTTATCCACAAGCTTATGCCTAACTGGGTGTAGTGGCGGCATTACGATCTCTTCGCTGGCACGGCCTTCGTAGGATAACCTCTGCAACGTCGGCACTCTTTGCGCTTCCCGCCGACGTGCTCGTTCTTCTAAGACATCCCTCAAGTCCTCCGAACGAATAGAGTAAGAGTATCTCGACGTCGTCGACGGATGTGAGAGACGGTAACTACAATCCCGCGTGTAAGACTTCTCCACCGACAGGTCAGAGTCGCCAATCCATAGTTTCTACTGATTGAAATGGAAGGCGTCCTTTGTTGGCTCTGGCTGCCTAAGCAATGAGATATGGTGCGCTCACTGCGGTTGCCCACTCCAGCAACACCATTCCCTTTGATTTGTCGCTTTAGCGTCTCTATCTCCGTCATCATCCTCCAAATGATGACGTCTTGGTCTCTTAGCTTATGCTCTAGGCGTTGAGCATGAGACTCTCTCCGTCGCTGATGCCTGTTTGGGTTATATGAGTGGTCAGTGCTCCTTGCGCGCTTATCTCGCGCATCTTTGGGTAGCCCTCTGAAAGAAGTCTCCAGGCCAGCCATGGTTAGAATGGTAGGGGGTTCGTCTCTTCTCCAGACTAACTCAGAGGTGATGCCGTCGACGACGGATAGCGGTGTTTCGTCATTGTGAGCCATGAAGAGTGATCGGACAAGCTATGAGGACAAGGTTTTGTCTGTCGAAGACTTCCCACAGACGGCGTCTATTGTACGGGGAGCAAACATTTGTTGCTATCCGTACTTCTCATGTCCAAGCTCCGCTTCGCTCCGAATAACCTGAGAATACAACGGCGGTGAGCTACCTGGCAGGTGTGTTGCTGAAAAACCCCTCTGATGGTCAAGTTAGCACCCTTGGAGAGGAAGAGAAAAGAGAGAGAGAGCGAGAGAGAGAAAGAGAGAAGAGAGAGAGTGGTAGGTGAGCTCTGATCACCAGATCTCCCAGACCTATGCACAGAAGCACAGCTCCGTTTATATAGTTTTTGCGCGCGCTTCTGCGTCCATTCCTCACTAGACGTGTGAACCTACTCTCCTCTTACGTGTCAGCGCAAATACAGCTAAGCACCAAATGACGAAACCGCGAAACAGTATCAATGCGTACGAATGGCAGGATCTTCTTCCCGCGATTCCGCCGTGCCGCATAGATCTTCTGGCTAGGCTATACTCGCCACCTCGGCTTCCCTTTTTCACTGGGGCCGCACTACCCACCTGGTATCGTTGGTTAGACCCCAATGTGGACTCAACTGAGCCCCACGGTCACGACTGAGCATCTACTCGGCTGAATGTGGTCTCCTCAGAAAAATTTCATCCAACAGCTAAACGTGCATCTTCATCGGGCTAGTGTCCCAAAGTTGTCCCAACTTGATCAGACTAAGTCCTCAGTCCAATGTGCGCCCACCGTCTGACCTAGTAGGGGCCCCGATTCCGGCCCAAATTAGCTCGGCCCATTGCTAGATTATAAATACCCCTCTTACTTTCTATTAAAAATAAAATAAAAATACAAATAAAGATGAAGTGTATTAAATGATGAAAACTAAAAAATCTAATAGTCTTACCTATGTTCCTATTTATAATCATGCACAATCTCACACTATCATACTTGTGATCCTACTATAACACTAATTAATTTAGTTCGAGTAACTTAAGTCTAGCTTGAATTTATTGAGATAAAGTTCAAATTTCTACAAACAAATTCAAGCAAAAGTCAAGCTTAAGTTAAGATCAGGCTAAGCTCAAGTATCCATATATCTTTTTAACTTTTAATGTTAAATTTAAATATACTCTCAATCTGATTAAAAAAAGTCACATAAGTCGAGAAGGAGTAATTTGATAGACTTGTAGTACTTTTCCACATCACACATCACATGTGACACAATCCTTGTCTTGTTATCTTTGTAAAAAAGACAAAAATAATCACAACCAATAGCAACTCAAGTTAAAACACTTCTTATCAAAAGCCAAATTGTGTAACTTCATGGAAACATTTTTAGATCATAGAAAATATTTTCTTCAATAATTAGAATAAATTACCCAACTTAATTTACAAAATTAATTAAATGAATAATTAATTAATATTCTTCTAGAAAGCCTCTATTTCCAATCCATACAACACACCGGCATGTTTTTCCGGTCCATCTTTTACAAAGTAAAGGTCTCTCATCTTCTGAAACGCATGCCACGTCAACAGACTATCCGAACCGGCCTGGTGGCACTTCCCGACCACCCGGTCCACCTCTAGACTTCTCGCGACCCGGTCCAAACCGCCGTACAAGCTCTGACAGAACCGAATCATATGCTTCAAATCGTAAACATTGTTCCCGAAAAAAGCCCTCAAAATTCCCAAAAAGTCCTCGAGCCCACTCGGCAACGCGCGGCGCGTGAGAATCTTAACCAGGTAGCCAAAATCGTACGCGCTATGAAACGTCACCCAACTCACCAAGTTGTTGCAAACAAGGCCCGATGACATCATCAACTCGGCGAACCGGGCCGAGTCGACCCCCTCAGACCGGTTCCGATCAAAATCAATTCCCTGGCGACGAAGCAGATCGATCGAATCGAGAGCGTGAGCATCACGCGCAACGTCGAAGTCTCGGAAATTGAATTCCCAAATGAAACCGTTGTGGCCAGAGCCGAGATCGGGTAGGTTTCCGGCAGCGTCGGAGAGCGTAAGACCTAACTGGATGAGATTCAAAGCGTCGACGTTTGATTTCAAGACCTTGTAGTGATCCGACGGCAGTAGCCTCATCCGACAACCGTGATCGACCGTGGTGATTGGCCGGAAAACGACGCCGGGGAACTCTGTATCCATAGAAATGTAAGGATAGCGATCGATGAGGTCACGGATGAGATCGAATTCGGACTCGAGATTTTCAGACCAGACTTCGCGAATTATGACTGGTTTTGATTTTGGTTCGTCGGCAGACATGATTGTATGATAATTATATGTTTAATAGATCAGTTGAGAAGAGACCCAGTTTGCAGATCACAGTTGTAGAGAGAGAGAGTCGTTAGCATAAATGAATAGGGTTGTGATGGTGAGGACAGAGGTGGGCTGTTTTTGTGTCTTATATGGGAAGTGGGGGGTGGGGGGTTGAGTGTGAAGATGAGTTTTCTAGGAAAGAGGTGCGGTTGTGGGAGACGTGTAAATGGTGCAATGAATAACAAATATTAATGTGGTAGTGGTGGGGTCCAAGTTCAACGCGTTGTTCTCATTTGACCGAAAAAAGAAGTAAAAGAAAAGTGGAATAGTAAAGACGAGACTGGGTCTCTGGTTCATTTTCGGTGCCTCACTCAACTCTATCAACACTTACCTACTCCTCTTCACAAAGTTGTGTTTAGCAAAGGAAGCCATGCAGTCGGAAAAATTAGTCTATGTTTGTGTGTTCATAATAGAATGGATGATTAATTTAATTATACGACGGATAGGATTGTAAAGATGTACTAAAGTAGGAGATAAATTTACAAGATATTTTATCCTTGTCATAGGATATTTTCATGGTTGTCTTAAATTGTGTGTGATTGGTTGAGACAATTAAATCTATCACTTTGCTTGTTTTTGGTTTTTTAAAAATATTTTTTAGAAAATTTTATTTTTTTTATTTCTCGTATTTTTTTTTGTTTTTACTGATTTTTTTTTAATATTTTGAGTAATTTTTTTAATTTTTAAACACACCTAACATAAATACACATAAAAGTATAATTTTTATAAAAAAAATCTTTTAAAAATTCACTAAATATCAAAAATATAAAATAAAATACGAGAATTCAGCATATTTTCGTATTTTTATGTATTTATTAATTTTTTAAAATATTTTTTCACAATTTTTTTTAACTTTTTAAACACGTGTAAGTAAGATGCATCTAAAAAAGTTAAAAAAAATGCTTAAATTTTTAAAAATATTCACTAAAAACAAAAAAATACGAAAAACAAAAATTCAATTTTTAAAAAATTTAATCTAAAAAACTCAAATCAAATACACACATTAGTTATTTTAATTGATATTTAATTTTTTTTACAAAAAAACATATAAAGGTCCACCCTAGGATTGTCTGGAAAGTAATTTTTTTAAAATAATTTTTCTAATTTTTATGAAAAGACAGATAAAAAAAAAAAAAGAGAGAGAATGAAAAATAAATTTTAATTTTTTATATTGACTACCTTACTTCTGTAAGTCTTGTCAAACAAATCATTTATACAAAATTTTAAATTGATAAAATATCTATAACTATGTGATTGGGTTATGTTTGTCTTTAAAAAATTTGTAGTGTATTTTAAAAATTATTTTTGGCTCAATTTTTTAAAAATAAATATGTTTCAATTCTATAAATTTAATTTTTTTTATGAACGATCTGTTAAATAAAATTTCAATTTTTATTATTAAACTTAAAATGTGTTTCTAATTTTATTTTATTTTATTTTACTCTTGCTACTTGAAAATTTGAGATAGAGATCACAGTTGAGCCATCTCAATATAAAATTTTGATAAAATAAGTTTCAATAAATAAGTTAAATTTGAGAATCCATTAATTTTAACGCAATCCACCTGAAAGAGTTGGTTCTAACAAAAACTCAATAAAAAAAATGGTGATATTTTACCCACTGAGGTTTAAACTTTTATTTAAACCCAGCTGAACGCCAAAAAAATAAATAATAAAAATCATCCACTATGTAGTGGACTGGATCGACTCCCAGTTCGGACCCGTAGACCTACACAAGACTGGTTTTGACTCTCTGATTTGTTAATATTTTAAATTTTAATGTGTAAATTATTTATTAAAAAAAAATCCAATCTTATAATTAAAAAATGATGATAAAAAGAAAAATTGATAATTTAAAAACATTTGATTAAGGGATTGTTTGGAGTGTCTTAAATAAGTGCACTTTTTGTATTTTTAGACTAAAAAGTTGACGGAAAAAATATGGATGTTTGGGTTAACTTTTTGACTTTTTATATAAAAATGTGTAATAAAAAATTATAAAAATTAGTTTGTAGCGGAAAATTAGAATTGGGAGTTGTGCAGCCGTAATTGTTGACTTTTGGTGAATAGTGTCTACTTTTTAACTTTTTGAATAACTTTTTGACTTTTTGACTTTTCTCAAACTTCCCAAACTTGGCCTAAATTGAGTGGTTAAATTATCGGATGAATCTAATTTTTTTAATGAATAATTTACCTAATAGAAGTCTAAAAAAATAAACAGATCATATCATTGTTTAATGAATTATTCAATTGTATAATTAAGATAAATTAATAATTGAACTTAATTTTCATAAAATCTTATTACAAAATAGTTTTAATAAAATCGTCGTTAAAAATAATTTTTTTTTGTATATATCACTAGAAATTGACAATTAGTGACGGTCTTTTTTACAATTTTTATAAACTATCACTAAAACTTATAATTAATGATATTTTTTAGTGACTAATTTTTTAAATTGTCGCTGAAGTTAAAAATTAGTGATAATTTTTTGTAACAATTTTTTTTTAAATTGTTACTAAAATTTATAATTTATAACTTTTTTATGATAAATTTTTTAAACTGTTATTAAAAATTAATAATTAGTAATATTTTTTAATAGTATTTAATAAAAAATATTGTTAATCATTACAAAATTTATTAGCCAATAAATTCCCCCAATTGGATCCACATATAAGTCTCCCATAGATTTGGATGGAGTGATTTGGAGAGAAAAAAAAAGAATACTTGTTTGGATAACATCAAGTGAAGAGATATGGGAAGAAATGAAAAAAAACTCATTTCTATTATAACTCTCATTTTCAATCTTTCCAACAGTAGAGAGATTGGGAGGGAAAAGAAACCAATAGATTCTTATATTTTTATAATATCAATTTTGTCCCTATAGAAATAAAATGATTAACACCTATGTCCTCAAGGACTTTTTATATCATTTTGGTAATATAACATAAAATAATTTCTTTTTTATTTTCTCTTATGAAATCTAACTAAACAAGAATGAGAAAAATCACAATCATTTCATTTCTTTTATTTTTTACTTATCCAAACAAGAATAATAAAAATCACAATTATTATTTTTATTTTATTTTCTCTTATAACTTAAGTAATCATTTCTTTTCTTTTCTTTTCTTTCTTAATGTTGTGTTTGGTTAGAGGATTTGAGAAGGGATTTGAAAAGGAAAAGGAAAAAGGTGTGTGAGACTAGGTAAATCTAAGTGTATTTTATTTTAATTTCACTTACCTTTTCTATTTCTTTTTTCAATTCTTTCTTCAAATCTCCTAACCAAACACAGCATAAGTTTCCAAGTACTATATGCCTATAAAAAATCACGTTGATCGGATATCGATAGCTATCTGATCAGATTTATTTTTTTTCAATCGTTAATTATAACACCATCAATTTTTTTTAATACAAAACTGATTTGATCATATAATTATCGATATCTGATCAATGTGATTTTTTACAGACATATAGTACTCGACGAGTTCTACATATTGAACGGTTCAGATTATAAAAAAAAAAACACGTGATGAACCCCCACAGGCCAAACAGCAGTGTGTGAAAATTACACCCAAACTGTGCAATTTTTCTTAACAAACGCTGCACAGAGCTGAACATACATGATTGCTGAGTTGTATTTTTGTATGAAAAATTAATTTTTTAATATTTTTTTTAGTGAATAATGATAATTTTTTAAGTAAATTTTTGACTTTTTACTTTTTTGGGAAAAATGCCAAACCTGGCCCAGGAGAAGAAGGCATAGAGATAAGCAGGTGAAATGCATGTCAAAATTGATGATTATTTTAATATATTATTTAATCATTATTGTTTTGGAAGAAGCATTGCCCTTTATAAGCCGACAAGCATTCCTTTATCTTTGAGTAAAATAACTTCAAAAAATAAAAATAAAAATAAAATGCGGGAAGCAAAGGAACCGCAGGGGGAAGCTCAGGTTGGAGTGTTCATTATTGACTTGATAAACTTGACTATTTTGCGCAGTAGACCAACTATTTAGACTTATTCTCATGATTTTTATATAATATTCACATTTGTGTGACTTGGTCTAAATTGTTACACCTTATCATGACGTCAATGCTTTAAGCCTAAGCCATGAGTGTAACAATGATATTACATCATCAGTATCACTATTTAATTCTTTCTTGTCATGTATCTTGCTATATATATGTTTTCACTATGTATATGTAAAACTTATTATTGGTTGGTGATATCACGTCATGATATCATTGTGATATTGAATTTTTACTTCAAGACATCTATTTAGTATGAGAAACATTATGGTACACACTCAAAAAAATGTGTATTATATGTTAGTTACATTTGTTAATTTGATTACCACAAATGACATAACTCAATATTATAGAAGTTATCAAATAAAAAAAAAAAAAAAAAAAGAAGTTATAATTAAACACCAAAATAACTCTTGAATCATAATTAAAATAATATCACAGCCAATATCACAATAAATCAAAACTAACAACAGAATAACTCATAAACAAAGACACAAAGGTCGTAACTAGCACAATAACTCATAACCAAAGATACAAAAGTTGTAACTAAGGGAGCATATGGTACACACACCAAAAGGGATATGTACCATAGAATTTCCCATTTGGTATAAATTCAAACAGTAAACCAGTCATGTAGAATAGCAAGTTGTTCAAACTTTACATCAAAACTTAATGAATTTCAAAATGTGTTCAAACTCGATTTATTTACATAAAATTTTTAACAAACCGAACACAAATTAAACTTGAATAATTTTTTTCTTCTTTTTTATAATGCAAATGTACTTATCGAACTGAATAATATGTTATTTAAGTTTGACCTTAAAACTCAATGAGTTTTAAAATATGTTCAAATTTGACATCGTTATATAACATGTTTGGTCTCAAACAAAACTTTTAACAAAGCAAATATGAGTCAAGCTCTAAAGTTTTGGTTCGTTTCCCTTAAATTAGACAAAAGCTGTTTGTCATTTTAATTTTTTGTTTTTGGGTAAATAAAAATTTTCAAAATTGTCTTAAGAAAATGTACCGGTTTTTGAGTTCTTAATTCTTCAATCTCTATCATCTGCTTTAGTTTTTTTCTTAATAACAACTAAAATTTGATCTTGAGAGTTCTATAGCACACAATCCCCTGGTGTATTATAAGTCAAGCAGATTTACTGGCAAAGCAAGGATCTTTAATTAGTAGTAGGGACTCAAAGCAGTTTTTCAACATAGTTTTTTCTTTACAAAGGTGACTTATTAGTTCAAACTGGTTCAAGCTAACATGGCTTCTCTTCCTTTTGACAAAAACAAAAAGCAAACACACCTTGTCCGATTGAGTCAACTCAATTTTATGAACATTGATCCATGTTCAAATTACTTCAAATTTATGCGAAAATCAATGGCTCTGTTTGTTTGTATTCCCAAATCAATTTTCTACGTGTGTTTTGGAGCATCATGTTTGGTTACGTTTTCAAATCAATTTTCTACATTTCTATCAATTATTTTAGAAAAAAATTAAAAACGTATTTTATAATATGTTTGTACAGGCGTAAAAAATGAATTGATAGAAAAATTAATTGATACAAAATAATTGACATAGATTTATTTTAAAATGAAAAAATAATTTGAAAAAAAATTTATTCAACAAAAATTACTGAAAAAAATTAATTGGAAAAAAATCAATTTTTAATTTCAGTAAATAAAAATAGTTTGGTTATTACTGTTGATAAAAAATACGGATATCGATATATGAGTTGTGTGTTTGATTATAAATTATTGATTGAATTAAGTTTTGAAAACACATTTCAACACTCTATTTAAAAATCATAACCAAATAAATTTTTTACACTCAAATCATAATTCCACAACACACAAACTCAAAATATAACTCATACTCTCAAATCACATTTACAAAACTCTACCAAACGCTACCAATGACTTTTAAAACCACGGATAAAAAACTCGAGCATTACCACGCCTTAACTTTACCCTCCAACTTGCTCACAATATCTTCAACCGGGTCAATCTTGTTTTTCTAATGGTCCAATAAAATATTTAACATTTGCGATGTAGCCTATTATCCATCCAGTCAATGCAAATCGCAGTCTTTACTCATATCTAATTTTTAATGTGAGCTTTCTTTCCGTTCTCTTTTGTTCATTAAGTAATACCTAATTTCATAAACTAAAGAACATGGAATTGAAGATTAAACAAAGTTTCACACCAGTCTTTATAACTACGATGCACGATTAATAAAACTGAACAATCCCATTCACAAAGTTCTGACTCAACAATTTAGAAACTATGTATTGGCTATGTGAGAAATTCAGTCTACAACATTCTCAGATTTTTGGTAGAACAGAGGTACCTTTAGGCTGTGTTTGGTTGGGGGATTTGAAAAGGAATTTGGTGAAATATTCACATTTCACCTACCTTTTCCGTGTTTGGTTGGGGGATTTGAAAAGGAATTTTGCGAAATATTCACATTTCACCTACATTTTTCCTTTCCTTTTCCAAATCTCCCAACCAAACACAGCGTTAGGAGGAGGTTCATACCAAACTTAGAAATAGGTACCTTCTGGAGGCTGAACAAGCTTTCGGTTCTGTGAGGCCGCCATACCTTTCCGCAGCTGCGCCAGTATGACTTCCATGGTGTACTCCCGTTGCCAATTCGCCAACATAGTGAACTTCTTTGCCTCAACCTGTCATGGAAAATTACTCATATTAAATCCCATAATGAAACCACAAATCTAATATTGGGGAGCTGACTACAGAGAATAATTGTTTCTAAATTGCATTTTTCGGTGAGGATTTTATTTGGTTTCTAAGACATGGTCTGACTGAATGCATAATTTCATTGTGGAAAGAAGGGGAAATAGAAAATCAAATCTGTCATGGGGAAATTGGAATAGAAACTAGATGAGAAATCATAACGGTAAATGGAAAATCAAATCTCTCATGCAGAAGTTGGAACATAAACTAAATGAATCGAATCACTCAAGTGGAAGTTGAAAACTTGGAACAGAAGCGAGCGCTCCATTTGTTTCAGTGGAAAACATAATGAAAAACTTTTTCCTATGTTTAGCTGCGATTTTTAAGCTTATATGCTAGTGGTTGGGGTGGTGGCAGCAATTGTAGTGTGGTGGCATAGGTAAGACTTCAGTCAGGAAAACATTTTCCACCTTTCAAAAAGTGAAAGTTTTTCTACCTAAATAAGCTTGTTTTCTGTTGACCACGGAAAATATTTTCTGCTGACTTTCGTTTTCTGTTACACCAAATACCAGAAAATGCAGGGATCTCCAATCCCATCAACATGAAAACGACACAAAATACATTTTACTATTCTTGGCCAGAGTTGCCTCCAAACATCCTTGTACTGGGCTATTTGTTATTCACTCATTGTGCCCTAAAACCAATACTGGATGCCATGCACGAGAGATAAAAACAAAAATTGCAATCCAATTCATGTAATATTAAAAGTCTCCATAAAATCAATCGCACAATAAAATTACAACATTACCACTCCAGTCTCGGAATTCACACAGGTCATGTTAATTCGGGAATGGAAACGAACGCTTGGAGGTTTGTCAGGGTAATCTTTGTCACAGAACAGCTTCAATTGATAAATGCGACCTTCATGTACAGTCTGAAATAATAGAATTCATTAATGAGTTACAGTTTTACAAATATATATATATATATATATATAATGTAAAAATAAAAATTAGTATAATGTATAAGAAAATATGCATTCAGAAAAAGATTGGGCACATGTATGTCACATTAAGGATACATCAATTCATTAAATTTTGAAAAGATAGGGTACTATGATATCACTATTTTCATCTTCTCTAAGAAGCAAGCAAAATATTGGAAAAATATTCTTATATTTATTCTGACAGGTATACTCTAATACCATGCAAGAATTATTACAATCTCAATTTCATAATAGCTTGGATACGTGACCTAGAGTATCTACAAAGTATACAATACTTTTTAGAAAGTATAGAATTCATATCCCCAAATACGATTCCCTTCTAGATGTATATGTAAAAACACAACAGGGTTCTAGGTATGGTTTTGCCCCCACTAGGTAAAAATCCTGGAAAAACTCTCTAAGGTTGATCATGTTGCATAAACCAATCTTGTATGTTAACACTCTTGTTCACGTTCTAGTATTTGCTCAGTTATTATTTTGGTTACACCGCAAAAGACAAAGTTCAAATTTGATGAATCATATGCAAAGCAAAGTCAGCATTTTCTTTTCTATTTCTTGCAATTGGCAAATTTGTATCTTAAAGCATCCTGCATGCGCTAGTATTCAACTCATGTTCTAAAGGCCACCCACAAAGTTACAGTAGCAACTCATGAAAATGATTTATTTTTGGTGGATTTTGCCTCATCACACCTCTCTTACACTCATCCAAATGTTGAAACCCAGAAAATTTGCAAAATGCAAAATCAATGGCACCAGGACAAACCAGTACCCAGAAAACAATTTGAAGTCTTAAAACAAAAAACATGTGCATTTAAAGTATCAAAACAGAAAAATGTAAAGCATCACAGAGTAACATGTAAATAAATATCATCATAGATGGAACACTTGACATAACAAGCAATGAATGGTAGCCTTGATATTCTAAAGCAGCAACAAAATTTAAGACTACCGTCATAGAAACAACATAAGATTTGTCTACTAGAATTATAAAAAAAAAACAAGGCGGTTAAAAAGGCAAATTACATTGTGGGGACCAATTATGGTACCAGTCCAAGAGCGCATGAAAATGTCATCAGCATCATCCATTCCATAGCTAACAGAACCATCTCCAATACCCTTCTCCCCACGTTCAAGTTCCTCCAGCAATCTGAAGTTTCGAGGAACTGCAGAGCAACAACAAATTTTTAGAATCCCATCATAGAGAAAGCTGGTTCACTGTGCATGACATGACATAGTGAAAACTTGCATGTTCAGTTGATTAAACAGATGTCTCAAAACATCAGTAGAAATCAGTTGAGTTCAGTTTTGTTTAAATAGTACACTTGCAAACAAACTGCAAGGTCTGACAATTTTTTTGTTGAGTTGAAGCAGAGAAAGTGTTTATGCAAAATATTCATAAACATCGAGCGCCTTGCGGGTTGGACTGTCTGATAATTGTAGCCATATTTTTTCTTCATATTTTTCTTCAAAAAAATGGATGGTTCAGGCCTGCCCAAAGGATGACTTCTCTCTGCTGAACATGGATAAAACTATAGATACTACGACAGGAAAGATGAATGATTTGAAAGACCGATTGATGGCTATTCTGCTTGCTATCACGGTTACAATTATAGGAATGGGCTAATTTTTTTCATGAACAATCTATACATAGGGACCTACAAAATGAACAGATTGGATTAATGAAGCTGTGCCCATAGTGGGCAACTGGATCATCCAGTTCACAATGTGGACTGGAGAGAAGCTGTGAGAAACAAGAAAAGTTACACTATACCCTCTAAAAGTCATCTTCTTACCAATCTTTTTGTATTCTTTCTTTGTCATTGTTTTGTGTCACTAATGAGTAATGATCATTGGAGTGTCCATCAATTTCTCTAGTGAAAAGGCCAAGCAAAAAACAACATTGAACATTTGTTTTCCTATTAAGACAAATAGGATACACAAACATATTGTTGGCTACAAATTTCACAATCCTAGGCCCATGGCAAACCACGAACTATCAATCAAACCTAGCTCTATTTTATAGACTAAACAACTTTAAAAAGAAACCATATGCAAGCAGCCCGTACACTTGAGCTAGAAGGATCTTGAGGCAAAAAGCTAAATGTAGCTAAAAATGGTTGCATTCTTTGGCCTTATTAACTTTATTTTTTAAGTTATTTTAAATGCTTTGAAGTGATATTTATTTATCAATGGCTATGCATTCTATTTAAAGTGCAAGGGTTAATTTAGTAGTTCATCTTTACTTTTGTAAATATCATGACAACCAGAAATTTATTAGCATATCAAGTCATGTCATGTCATTTATTACTCAGAGATAGGGGAAAAGAAAAAAATGCAAACAAAACATAAGCTGACAAAATTTATTTGGAACGGAGTGATTTGGTTCCAGTGGTGGAGATTAAACATGTGAAGGATCTTTCATCTATAGTGGTCTTAGGCAAGAGATTATGGAGTCAACAATTGTCACTTTATAAGAAGAATTGTCTCATGCCGAACAGTAAGCAATGCATTGGATTGTTGTCAGGGGCTACCGAAAGACGAGAATACAGAAAGTGCTGAAGAAAGCATTGTCGTGCCTGCTTTTATAAGGCATCCTCTGGATAATTCAAATCGAAGCAATTGGATGTCCAACTTGGGCCTATATGACATGACTAATCAATAGCAATATTCCAACACCCCACCATTGTCGGAATTCCATACAATACAGTGATAGATATCATATTCATGGTCTATAGCTACCGGCCTCTTTATTCGACTTTTCAGAGGATCAAGCAATGTGTAAGTAATCTAGCCAGTTTTGTTTCCTTCTCTTCATTTTATCATATTGTTTAACTTGCGAAAATCAATATTTGTACTCACTGACATTTTCTAGTGCAATTACTTATTTCAACAACAATGAAAGGTGCTCTCAGCTCAGCAATCACAAATATGATATAAAGATTGACCTTTTAAGATTCTATCAAAAATGTTTAAAAAAAAAAAAAATGATTCATCATCAGTAAGAAATTCAAAAAAGCACTCCTGTTTGATTGTGTTTACATTTTCTTTGATTTCATTTTGTTTACGCGCGCGCGCGCGCGCGCACACACACACGAACTAAACATAGTAAGACAACAAATATCCCGGTACCTACAAAACACACAATCAATTGTTGAAAATATTCAATAAAACACAAAATACAATCAAATTAAATCCGTAGACAGTTTGGGTTTGGGGGTAAGTGAACTAATAATAATATCAAAATATTTCAAGAAAATAATTGTTCAAATTAAAAGTTGTAAAGGGGATAGTTTGAGGGGGTAAAGTGAATTTATGCCTTCAAAAAATGAGTTGTTTAAAATAAAACAAAATAAATCATCGAATTAATTGACAAGCAATCAAAATAAAAGAACTCAAAGCCAAAAAATATATATATATATATGTGTGTGTGTGTGTATTTTTGTGAATGGAAATGGAGTGAAATATTATGTTACCGACGATGCTTGATCCTCCAGAACCGATCGTCATTGATGGCTGAGAGAGATTTCGAGTAAAGAACGAAGATCGAATCGAACTCAAAAAAGCAAACAAAAATAAGGGAATCGAACAACGCGAAGCGAGTACATGAGATAGATGATGAGACTCACTCACCAGAGGGCCTGATTGGGCTTGGTCCAAGACCGATCTCGTCGTTCTGGGCCTGGCTAATTTTCATAGTCTGACCCAGTATCATCGTGGTCCCCTAGGGCCTTGTGTTATTTACCATATGTTAATTGGAAATGTAGTCGTCATTATTTCAGGTTTGAGCCAATGGAAGTTGAATCAACTTATTATAATAATTTAATTTTATTAACATATTACGCTCTGTTTGTTTGGCCAGAAAACTTTTTTTCATATTATGTTTTTCAGAAAAAATATTTTTCTATATTTGGTGGTCAACGTGGTGTTGAACGAAAGTGGAGGTGGAGGTAATGGTGTGGTGGTAGGGCGACAATGGTGGTGATAGAGACGATGTTGGTGGTGGTGGCCGTGATGATGGTGATGTGGTGATGGAGATGAGAGTAGTGATAGTGGTGTGGTGACATTACTAAAATTTTAATTTAAAAAACATTTTTTGCATTTTAAAAGTGAAAAATATTTTCTATCTAAATTTTTTTTCTATTGATCATGACAAATAAATTCCATTAACTTTCGTTTTTCATTATCCAAACACCAAAAAATAAGGAAAATGTTTTTTAAAAAATAATTTTCACCCAAACAAATAGAGCGTTAAGATTTTACTGTGTAATAAAAGAAAAAGGTAAATTACATTGATTTCTCTTAAAATTTTGAAAAAATATAGTAAATTTTATAATTTTGACATAATTATGTTTGGCCCCCGTAAGGTTTTAATTTACTCAATAGTCTATTTTTGTTAATAATTCATTAGTCATGGTAAATGAAAAAATAGTATTTTCATTTCTTTTACATTAAAATGTATATATTTTATTATTTATATTTGTGTCTTCATGTTATTTGTATTAGATTCGTTCATTTTAACCATATTAAAAGAGATATTAATATAATTATGTCAAAATTGTAGGGTTACTTGTATTTTCTTCAACCTCAAGACAGTTCAATTTAATTTATCAAAAAAAAAAAATATTTCGTTGACTTTCGTTTTCCATTATACAAAACACCAGAAAATAAGAAAAATATTTTTCAAAAAATATTTTCCACCTAAATAAACGGAGCGTTAAGATTTTACCGTGTAATAAAAGAAAATGGTAAATTACACTGATTTCTCTTAAAATTTAGAAAAAATATAGAAAATGTTACAATTTTAACATAATTATGTTTGGCTCCCTTAAGGTTTTAATTTACTCAATAACCTCTTTTTATCAATAATTCGTTAGTCATGGTAAATGGAAAAATAATATTTTCATTTATTTTACTTTGAAATGTATATTTTTCATTGTTTATATTTGTATCTTCTTATTATTTGTATTAGATTCGGTCATTTTAACCTTGCTAAAATGATAAATTAATATAATTATGTGAAAACTGTAAGATTACTTATATTTTCTTCAAATCTCAAGAGAGCTGAATTTAATCTACCAAAAAAAATAAAATAAATAACTATGAGATAATAAGAAACTACTCTAGAACCATTAGTGATTTGAACGAAAAATGATGGTTGATTAATGGAAAAAGTAATTTGAGCAAAAAAATAATGCAATCATGTATATTGTATCTTTGATTATGCATGCATCTATAAGCCGGATATATTAGTTATACTTTTTTTTTTGTTATTATTGAAGGAAAATTAATATAATTATGTTAAATTTATGGGAAAAAAATTCAACTATGAAGAGAAGTCATTTGTAATTTACCTTTTTTTTTTTAATTTTCATTTTATTTTCATGGGAAAGTCAATTTTAACTATGTTTTTGAATTAATGGATCTCCCATCAATATGGACTACCTGACTCATTTATCAATTTTGATAATTCCCATGTGCTATATTGGTGGATTTTAGTAGATACAACTGTATTAAGATTCTCTAGAATGATTTCTTAGAGTGATCTCTTACGCTGAAGAGAGGAAGCTCGACGCGTGTCCCACTCAGCGTCCAAAGGCTGAGATTCAAACTCACCAAAACGACGTCGTTTTGGTGAATAAATTGGAAAAAAAAAAAAATCAAATATCTTTTGTTCTGGGTTTCTTTTCAAGTTGTTCCTGTAAAGAGGAGGAGGACATCGCTACCTCGCCCCTCCCCTTCCCACCTCCGACCCGTAACCATCGTCGCTGCCACGCCACAACCAACACCCTCCTCCATACTCCAACAGATTTAAGAAAAAAAAAACAAAGGTTCATCCTCCAAACTTAAAATATTACGGTTTTGATTCTAAAAATTAGGTTTTTCTTTGAATGGTAATGGTAATGATAATGGTAATGATAATATAAGATTGTTTAATGTGTTGATTGAGAGATCCATACCTAATTTATTTGAAATTTGTTCCTAGGGTTTGATTTGGGACTTTTTACATGATTTATTTCAAATTTATTCTTAAAGGAGCGGATTTGAGACTTTTTACATGATTTCTTTCATGTTGATTCAGAGATAACTAATTTTTTTTTATTAGTTTGTCTATATTGTCAATATTTTCATTGTCAATATTTAGAGATACCAAAAAGTCTGGCTCTTTTTATTATTATTATTTTTTTTATTTTACAGTGGAGATGGAGATGGGGGGGGGGTTGTTTTTTTTTTTTTTTTTTTTTTTTTTTTTTTTTTTTTTTTTACGCTAGGATGAAAATGACAAAAACAATATACATTTTCCACAATGCATATATCCTTACATTTATTTATTTATGTTTAATTTTGGGTGATAGTTGTTAGAATATATATAACAATGGAACTGAAAATGAAGTACTAGAATTTAATGAGAAGAAGAATGAAATTTAAGAGAATAAGGGAAACTAAACAAGAAAAAATAATGGAAGAACTTATTGATCGATACTAGAGTAATTTGCAATGTCCTAAAGTCAGATTTAGCTATTGTCCTCAATACTTGAATGATCCATTCTTGGACCTTAAATAGCTTGTGCATTACGATTGATGCATCTAATCGAAATAAGCAATTATATGGATTTTCCCCAAACGTTAAACACATTTTTTTTCCAGAGAAATGATCAAATGTACTATATTTCTAAAGTAAATGTGAGTTGTCTTTAGTTTGCATCTAATTGAAATAGGCAATTATATATATTTTCCCCCAACATTTAACTACTTGGCATGTAAGCAATACATAACGCAATAGGCATATTGAATATGTTTTTGATTAGTGGATCGTCTGATTGAATATTAACATGGTTGAAGAAGGCTAATTTCATCTCACCTTTATAATATGTTGTTATTTCAGCTAAAAAAATGCCAACATCAAATGCATTTATGAGTGATACTAGTAAAATTCAATTTAGAAATTGAAAATGTCGTTGTGGAGCGAAAGCATAATTCAAGATTTCAGAGTCAAAAGGAAAATCTATGGATGGTATACTTTGCTTGCGCTTTCAACAACACCAATGGATGCAGTTTTTTTGAGTGGTGGATGCCTTTATATAAGTAGCGTCAATGGTTGAAGATGCTAAGGGAGGAAAGCAACGAAAATTGTCATATCAAGCCTTTGGTCAATGAACTCATTGTATCCAATGGTTAGCTGAAAGAGATAGTTACAAAGTGTAGAAAATAAAGTAAACAAATGGTTGTAGAGATTAGAAACTTCGGGAAAAGTTGCACTACGCCATTGTAATAATAGTATTGATTGGATTTGGACTTCTTCTTTTGTTGTTTAAATATTAAGTGTAAATTAAGTTGGTTTTGGACTTGGACTGCTCTATTGTAAATTAAGTTTTGTTGGGATTTATGAATCGACTGAATTATAAGTATTTTACATGGTTTGGATTAATATTGGGATTGTCTGAAGTTTGAATGTGATACAGAGGTTTGGATTTATATTGGGATTTTTTGGTGCAGTTTGACAGAAACTTATATCTGCTTTGTGCTTTTATGTTTTTTTTTTTTTTTTTTTCCATCCATAGAATTGTTAGTTGAGCAAAAATAAAGGATCCTTGTTGTTGTCAACATAATTTTTTTTTTTAAATTTATAAATTTGAGGTCAATATTTTTTTGTATTTGATAAGAAACTTAGTATTATTTCCTGTAAATATGAAAAATCTTACAAACAGGTTGGCTACAGCAAACTGCTGCTCTGAGAACCAAAGATATTGGAATTATGCTCATGCTAGGAGTTAATATAAATGAATGGCATAGAGATATGCCAATTTTCTTTGAAATGTAATGAGGATTCGTACTCTTCAAGCTCCTATTTTGATTCATTGTAGACTACAACATTTTCAGCAACATTCTAACAAAATTTTTAGCAACATTTCAACAACATTCTAACAAAATTTTTAGCAACATTTCAACAACATTTACTATTAACCTAACAACATCCACATTACAGGTTATCAATATTACATACACGAATACCATATCCAACAAAAAAACTTAAACTCTAAGATTTTGAAGTGTGATCCACATGATCACGCCCACGCCCACGCCCACACCCATGCCCATGTAGTACCTTAAAAAAAAAAAATCATCTTATATCAAAGGAACCATAAAATAAAATAGAACTTAAAATGAATGACAAAATAAATGAAAAAATGTAGAAAATAAATTACTTGACTACATGCAGGACTATTCAAGGCTTACGAGTAATAACTGCTTGCATTGTTAAGCAATGCTTGATAGCTTTCATGCATAGAATACATCGATGGCATTGAAAAATGCATATTACTTGGCTGCAACAATAATAAACACATATCAATCTAAAATGGTAATAATGACATATAAATAGACATAATAAAACTTCCTATTAAATTAATTTACATCATAGGTGGGATACATAAATTGAGACGAAGAAGCATTAACTTGAGGAACATTTGTCGAGAATAAAGGAGGAACTTGAGGAGCACTTATTGAAAATAAAGGATCTGGTTGAGAAATACTTGCCGAAAACAAGGGAGATGGTTGAGGAGCACTCGTAGAAAATAAGGGAGGAGGTTGAGGAGCAACAGATATGGGAGGTTGAGAAGCATTATGTGAATT